TGCGGCCCTTCTATATTTTCCACAAAGACAAAGTGGTATTGATTTTAATTTCTTTCACGACCATTGTCTGTTGCAAGCACATACGGCGATACGCGGCCATTTCGAATCCTATTGTTTCAAATACAGTGGAACCTCGATATAACGAAGGGCCAAAGGACTGGCAAAATGTGTTCGCTATAATGAGGTTTCGTTGTATCGACGGTCTTTTTCGTATATTCTACTATTACTGGGGCCAAGAAAATCGTTCGTTAAACCGAGGACTTCGTTATATAGAAGTTCGTTAAATCGAGGTTCCACTGTAGCTATTATGGGAAGCTCACGGGCCAAATTAGTATGTATTTGCCCCCTAAGCATCCCATAATTTTATAGCTACATGTACTGCAAACGATAGAATTTAAAATGGCCGCCATGTCACCGAAAAGGTCCACTGTTCTATTTTCAGTAGCAATAGAGAAAAATGGGCCTTTTTGTTGCTTTGGTGGCAAACTGATTTTTTAAAAAATGTTGTTTTTCATCGACAGTAATCAGAAATATCTTGTAAGAAAGCTGTCGTGTGTCAAGCGACTTTTTAAGTTAGAATTGACGAGAAGCTCCTTCAAGGGGGAGGGGGTGCTCATGTGAAAGAGGTGGGGATGTTCTATGTCTATTTTATGGTTTTAAATTGCGAATTTCTTTCAACGCTTCGACCAGTTTCCTCTGCCATCATTGAATCTTTCTTGGGTTCTTTCTTTCTTGGGTCATACTTTGTTACTTTTGTTTAAGTCGACCCGGAATGGACTTTCTAAAACGTCTTCACAGACGAAACCGCTCGATGAAATCATCATGGAAGTCATTATAGTTCTTATTCGCCTGTTTTAAAAGTGGCATCTTTTAGGGGTAAAATAAAGTGCAAGACACACCCAGGGTTTTAAGAGGATTTAAATATCAAATTTTCCGACAAGCGTCCACGCCCCTTTTGACGTGTTGATCTTCCCTAACGAACCAAGTGACTTACTTGATAGGATTTGAAAAGGTTTATTGTTGTTCAATATAATTAATAATAACAGACTTCCATGTAATGTTCAATTGGGTACGAAAACTACATAAAAATTGTGATTCATTAAAGAAAATGTAAACGTGGAAGATAAAGTGACATTACTTTAAAATAAATCATCGGATAAAACACGTAAATTTCTAAAAACCAAATCAATCAAAAAAGGTCCTTTAAGCAAGAAAGTCTTACTGTAACTTTCAAGGTGTCCATTGCGCAGGCATTTCTGTTCCTATTCCAATACCAGGAGCCCATCTCTCCTGAAAACACTCATAAAGTATAATCGTTTGTCCCACCATACGGTCACTTGAGGTTTCGATTGCGACGTTTCCACTGTTTACTGAGAGTCTTCATCACCTGATTACACGTTACACACTGATTACATTTCTGGTGCAAAGTTGTTCCCTACAAAAAAAGCCTCTATAACGGCGCAAGGTATCAGTTTAATTTTGTACTTCGATCTAACGTAGATGGTTGCCTGGCCGGGTAGGCTTGTTGTGAAACGGAAGACGCCTAGAAACTTTATCGCATTCACAAGGAATGTAACCTTACAGGAAACCTTATAGACAGGCTACAGTGATTTAAGGACGTTCGCACTACTTGTTTCTATGCATCTTTACTGCGCAAGCCAATTCACACGCCACGTCAGGCATCGAGCGCGCGCGCAGGTAATAAAATGAACAATGACAGGGCAGATGGCCATTGGTATAGCATTGCCTGGATTTAACGATCTTGGACGTTCGGTGACCCCTATTTTTCGCAAGGCGCAAAATTGTTTATGGCTGACCCTGCTGCGCAGCCTGCCTTGTTTCAGGTCATTGTTTTAGCGTTTTAAGACATGTATGAAGTGTAGAATCAGGTCACGGTTATTTACATTCAGACCTAATACGGCAATTGTTAAATTTAACGTAACATTGTTGCAGCGGCAAGAGGTATTTACATGGGTTGATTTTCAACGCAATACGAACCAAATTAGAATTATTGAGCACAGTGTTTCGAAAAATTCATTTCATAGTTTTAGCGTTTATCGTAGAACGTTTTGCTTTGAAATCTACTGTTAAACAAACACGATAGCTTTTTCAGGTAAATAATACTAGCAGTATTTATAACTCTGAACAATTCACATTTGAAGCCGTTAAATTAATTAACATAAGCAGACACGGAAGCGATTCGAGTTTCAGTCAGTTTCCTGTACTGGGTCTGCATGAATTATTTGATAACGACTATAATCATAAAATTACAAATTCCTCGATTGCGATTGGTTTAAAAACTCCTATTTTTCACTAATTCACTTGCCAAGTTGTTATCGGACAGTTTGTTGTCGGTCAGTTTGTTATTGAACAGTTTCAGATCAGTAAGCCAATCACATTCAAAGTTGTAATTTAAATCAACCAATCACATTCAAAGTTTCAGATTAAATCAACCATTCAAAGTTGTAGTCTTTTAATGCAAATTTACCCTTTCGTTCATAACTTGGCTATTGTTCTTTTCTCGGAAATTATAATTTTATGATTAATTGTTGATAAAACTTCGTGTCGTCCAATTCGGTCCGCAATCATACTCCTGATAAACAAATCGGACTCCCGCTGCGCGGTCGTCCGATGTTGTTATCACTCAGTCCTATTACCATTACTTATCTCAAACAATGTTGGTGGCTAGGTTACAAGTCTATCTCTACAATTTAAAGGTGCTTCACAAAAACGACAACTGACTTGTTTCTTTTATATCAACTGACCACTCCCCCAATAGGGCTTTTCAGGGCCAATGAAAACAAACGATGAAAAAATAAAATAATGTAAATGAACATGACATGGTTAAAAATCCCATCTGGCAGAAGGCAGACCAGTTAGCTATTTAAAAGTGTGGCCGAGGAGTTGAACAGGGCCTACAGAGAACAACGCCAGCTGGTAGTCAGAACGGGGCTTGAGCCCGAGACCTCCAGACCTCCAGCGCCCTAACCATGTAACCACTCGGCCACGCTGGGGCGCTGTCTTAACGGTGAGGGGCTCAGTCTTATTAGCCCATTAAGGTTATTTCGGGCAGCCATGTACTCTTTTTATTTTAACTTATTCTTGCTCATTTAATTTCTAGCTGAGTACAAATAAAGTTGTTGTTATTGTTGTTGTTGTTGTTGTTGCTGTTGCTGGGCTCCTATGTTAAAAGGACTCCCATTCAGAATCATACGAAAACCTTCTGGTTCGAGCAGAGCTACCTTCACTACTATATCGAAGACTACAACATATGGCTATATTAATGTACAAAGTAAAATATGGCCTCGCACCAAGTATTGTTGACGAACTGTTTAAGCAGAAAAGCGCTAGTCATTCGTTAAGAAACAGTGAATTTGATATTCCTACTTTTAACACTATTAACTATGGAAAACATCCTATTAGATATCAAGGACCTCATATATGGTCGAAACTAGGTAATGAATTGAAAGGCTCCTCGAATATAGAATCTTTTAAAAATAACAGTAGGGAAAAAGACCTAACGTCACTCTTGAACAACAACAATACTAACAATAGCTGCTGTAACCTTTGCAATTCTTAGAGACTACCTCTTAAATACCCATTGTTTTATTGTACAATTTATACATGCTACATATTTTAATTGTATATACATTTTTATTATTATTCCTTATTTGTGAATAATTTTAATTTTTTTGTTGTGTCCCCAATTAGTTGTGAAAACTAAATACAATGACACATTAATAAAGCTTTTTACTTTACTTTTTTTACTTTTTACTTATNCATTCGTGTCTAGCGCCTGATGCCTTCTCTGCGCAAAGTCGTATGCTACTAAGGAAAAATGTAAATAATAACGCCAGCAAAGTTTCTCCTATAGGCTTTGCACGACCCGGTCACATGGT